GGCCCTGACTGTGGTCGGCCCGGTCGGGGAGACTTCTCTCCCGTCTGGGATTCGCTCTCGGCGGCAGGGCCCCGATAGCAAACCTACGCGGCCCTGGGCGGAAAAGATAATCGGGTCCCTATCGGCGCGTTGTTTATCAATCTACCGTCGGGCTGTGCTCGACAAGCTGCCTCGCCGACCCCTGCCTAGAGACCTAGGATCATAGAGGCTTGCACTGCCCAACAAAAACCATTTCGAGACGTCCCCCCAGAGCCCATCCGCCCCTGTCGTTGCCCCGACCTTTCGGGTCACAAGTCGGCTCTCTCTGGCAGCCGCTGGCGATCATCGGGGCGGCCGTCTCTGGGTTCCTCGAGGGGCACTCGAGCGCCGACAGCAGGCTGGCGCAGCACAGAGGGCCCTGCTGGGAAAGGCTCCAGCCGTGCGCGCGCAGGATCTGGGCCCACCCCTTGCTGGAGAGGCCATCGGGGCAAGCTGAGCGTCTACGGTCAGGAACTGTTGCCGAGCATGGGACGCACGAGGACACACGAGTACTACATGTCCTCCCTAGAGGCGCGCGTCCGACCCGAACACACAGTACAGTCATCTTGTAGTAGATCGCTTTCCGAGCGGTATTGCCAGGAAGCGCCAGGCACGGAGCTTATACTATGAGACTTCTCGGCGCGCGTCGCCCTGGGCGGAGGATCGGAAAAACTCGGCACGTGGACGCTGGGGGGCCGTGAAGTGGATAGCGTGTCCATCGAGGCGTGCCAGAGCGGGCGGAGCGACACGCTGAGCCGAGGTTCCTGACCGTAGAGCCCAGCGTACAGCGCACACATGCGAGAGGGTGTCCCCCCTCCCCCCCACCTACAAAAAATAGAACAGGATTCGACGTCATGACGATGGCTCGGGGTTGCAAATGTCGAAGGGCTTGGTCCCGGCATTGGTTCAACGCGTGTGTTTGTGTGTGTGTGCGCCTGTGTCCCAAATGAATTCAGCAAGCAAGCAAGCATACACCCTGCAACAAGTTTGTGAACAAAAAGCTCAGCCGAACGTGAAGCGTCCTGTCCGGACCCCCCACACCCCCCAACAACAACTCCCTCCAACGACAGACCATCATGTGCGAATCTCGTGATGCATGAAGGGACAACTACAGCAGTGGCGACGAGCGAGGGCCCCACTGGCTCATACAAGTATTACCAAGAGAAATTAAAACCAGCCATGTGAACGAGAAACAATACTTACGCGGGGCACATGAGGCACACATATGATACTCACATCACACTCGATTCGGCCACAGGAGAATCAGAAATGGGCCCAAGACACGCGTAACGCTTGGTACGCACCACTGCCCAACCTGGGGGTGTAGGAAAGGGTGACGTCCATCCTCGATAAGTGTGCGTCCGATTAGTCCCCCCGGGGTGAGTCCCATGGCTTCCTTCCCTCTTTAATCGGCCTGATTTTTCGTAGAACGTCGGGATTTGGGGGCAAAGAGTCGCGTGCAACCATCTTGTCCTGGACCCTCAACGTCGTGATGTTTTACAACGTCGACCCCCCCAAGTCTGGACCCCTTCCCCAGGACCGGGTTTTCATTCCGAGCCGTTCTCTGGCGGTCCTGGGGCCCAGTGAGCCCCCCTGAGGCCGAAAAACAAAAAAGACACGTGCCCTGTTCGGGCACTCAAGGCCGCAGGGCCCCGTTCGGGCAGCTATTGCTGCCCCCCACATTTATTGGTAGTCCCCAAACGTGGTGGTGACAACACCTGGCGGTGAGTCTCGGGCGATTTGGTGTCACCACCCAGTTTGGGGACTCGTGCGGTTTTCCGAGGATGTCCCGAACGTTGGTGGGTCCAGGAGTCACAAAACCCGGCGGTGACCCCGCGTCCCCAAACCCAGCGGTGACCTTTTGGGGGATTCCAGGTCGCCACCTGGTATCTCACCACCCGGTTTGGGGGTTCCCAAATTTATCGCCTCCCCACTGCGCGGCTTCCAGGACCAGCGCCCCGCGGCGGCCGAGTTTCGTCGCATTGGTTTCACAGCGCGAGGAGGTCGGGGGTGCTTCGAGGCGGACCCCTTCTCCTCCTCCTCCTCCTCCTCCTCCTCCTCCTCCTCCTCCTCCTCCTCCTCCTCCTCCTACCCAAGAGTACGGGACAAAAAAACGCTGGGAAGCGGGGGCCGCCGCGGCCCCGGCAGCGCTCCTCCCCCAGGAGAGGCCAGGTCGGACGGGAGGGGCGGGTAGCACAAGGTGGTCGAATCGGCTCACGTACGGTCCTGGTCCTCTTCTCAGCGTGCAGTTGGGAATGCTCCGCGCGGCCGCCCTCGTCGTCGTTCCTTCCTCTTGCACTCCGGACAATTCGCCGATCGGCTGCCCCGCGCTGGTGCGGACTGCCTCTGCCTCGCCGCCCACGAAAGAAATTGTGAATATGCCTATACGCGCTGTGTGCTCCGCACTTTGCGCGTCTCCTGCGTGAATCTATAGGAGGGCTGTCCCACCCGACCCTACTTAGCGGTTGCGCCCATGCGCTGCTCAGCGTGTCAACGGCTTCGGTTTCGCAGGGCCCGAAACCACATACACGCCAAGAATATGACCATGATCATAGCTTTCCGTGGGCGTCGCGTACTGGGGGAGCGATCAATGGGGGGAGAAAGGTACACTTGTCGGGCCCAACAGGCTCCCTAAAAAGTACCTTTTCTGAAGCTCTCGCTACCCCCCAATCCTATCGCAACCCCCTTACGCGACGCCCAATCTCCCCGGCTCCTCCCGGCGACAGCTGCGCAAACGTACCGATGGAAGCGCCAGGCGGCGGGGCCGAAAGCAGCTCCACGCGGCAGCTTTCCCTGCCCCCGAGCCCCCTTCCGCCCGACTCCGAGGACGGCGGAGCATCGATAGGGGGGCACATACGAACCCTACGGTTCACTTCGTTCGGGAGCTCCCGAGCGAAGTGAACCCCACCCTCCCCTCAGAAATCGTGGGGGGTAGGGGTAGGGTTCGTATGTGGCCCCCTAATCGAGCACGCGGGCAGCCCAGAGCTGGGAGACTGACGTCACGACGGGCTTGGCGCAGGGTGCGCTCCAGAGCTCTCGAGGCTTGTCATCGCTCGGACGTCCCTTCCCATGCAGTTGTTTGCTTCCGTGCGTGCTGTTTGTTGCCAGATGGTCAACTGACGCTCCACAATCAGAACACGAACAATGTCTACAAACACTTGTCAGTGGGGAGCCTCTTCTGGAGACAAGAGAAGCGAAGCAAGTTGTACAGGAGGCTTATGGTGTGCTCACCCTCGCTTCGACTAACTCCCCAGAACTTCGAGTTCCATTGAAGTGTCTCACCGAGGTGGGAGCCTGGCCACGTGGTTCTTCTTGCCTGAGGCAGTGCTGGTGGCCGCCGAGGAGTGGGCTCCTCCTCGTATTCGAAACTCCTCGCCTCACGTCACTTACAGCGGCTGTGGGGAGACGAGACGACCCTTGAATTCGACCTATCCCAGTGGTGGGAGACTCTGCCGGCAGTGGCATTTCTTCGTGTTCATCATGCAGGCCTTGTGCACTTGCCCATGGGCTTTGGCCGGTCAAATTTGTACAACCATGGGAGGGGAGGGTTAAACCGGTGGTCCTTATCGTGATTCCTCGTGGCCCTAGCGGCCGTGTGGCGGGGCTTCTCTGGATCGGCGCCTCCAGTCAAGTTGGACACGCTCGAGTGATATTGCGGCCGGCAGGCCGGACCTCACGGCGTCCTTTCCTACCGCCAGCACGGCCCCTGCGGGGGCGGGCGCGGGGCGTTGGTGCCTCCGCGCCTACGCCCCGCTATCGCAACCTTGCGGCCGCCGTGTTGTGTTTCGACCTCACCTTGTACAGCGTCTTGCTTCTTTTTTCTTATAGCACATTTTGTCATCAACGTTGGGGACCCGGTCCTCGTGGCCGTGGTGGGTCGCAAGCAAGTTCTATAAACATAAACTTTTGGCGCTCCGCGTGGATTTCTTTGGTCTGCGCTGGACCCCCTCCCTGGCGCGCGGAGCGCGCCAGGGGCGGTGCCGGAGGCGCAGACAGGGAGGGCCCAACGCGGATCCAAGAGATCCGTGCGGAGCGCTTAAAGTTTATGTTTATGCCGTTTTTGCTCCTTCGCGATCAATGATGCTCCTTGATGGTCCTCGCCAACTTCTTCCTCGGTCCGACTGAACTCCCAAGGCCTCTCCAGGGGGTGCGTCTTGACCAAGAAAATCCTTGGTGGCATATCCAGCCCTGGCGACAAGAGCCCAAGGAGGACGAGCGGCGGCATCGCTACGCTTTCCTCCTACGAGCCGTGAACGCACATCACTCACTATCCTCCTCCTCCTCCACCCCCTCCTCCCCCTTTTTCTCCTCCTCCTCCTCCTCCTCCTCCCTCTCCTTATTCTCCTATCCTCCTCCTCCTCCTCCTCCTCCTCCTCCTCCTCCTCCTCCTCCTTCACCACCTCCTCCTCCTCGTATTCCTCCTCACTATCCTCCTCCTCGTCTGGGTCTACTCGGCGGCGAGCCAGGGGGGCGTCGAGAAGGGGCGGGCCTTCTCAGGAGGCCTGGAAGTCCTCCGGGCCTTCTGAGAGGTCTCCCGAGCCTTCCCCAAAGACACCAGCGACATCTCAGAGGGCGCGAGGGCTTCTGAGAAGTCCCGCCTTCTGAGATAGGAAGGGAAGGCCTCAACTATACACAAACACCGATCCTGACCAGGATCGCCCTGGGTCCAGGATCGGTGTCTACGCCCTCCTGCCATGGGCAGAACGCACATACACCGATCCTGGGCCTAGGATCGGCCTGGCCAGGATCGGTGTAGGTGCATAGTTGGTGCCCTCCGATGAGAAAGCTTTCTCCTTCTCATTTCCTCCCCCCTCCACACTCGCTGCCGAATTTGGCTCTTGAGCCATAACTCGGGTCGCCGGCCGCCGCTCGGGACGACGATCCCGGCCCCCCCCGGAACGCTCTCGGCGAGGCGCACCCGCTGGAACGAATGTCCAACACAAGAAAACCGCCGAGAGCCGACGAAAACGTCCGAGAACCTTCTCACTTTGGGGAACGAAAAATGACATCAACATAGAAACTCAGAGGTCCGCGAGGATTTCCTGGATCCGCGCCAGGGAAGGCGCTGGAGGCGCCACCAGGGGGGCCTGGATCCGAGAAATCCGCGCGGAGCTCCGAGTTTTTATGTTTATGTCAGTATTCGTTCCCCTATCACTTCTTCCTCCTCCCCTCGGTCGCCGCCGAACCAAAGCCCCTCGCTCCCCCTGAATAGGCGCACGGGGACTCCTCCCAGCAGCAGCCCCGCCGCGAAGGCCGCCAGGGCGTGAGGCACCAGGGAGGCGGCTCCCCACGCGGGCTCCTCCGAGCCAAAGGGCGTCCCGCGCGGCTCTTTCTCTCTGTCTCTCTGTCTCTCTCTCTCTCTCTCTCTCTCTCTCGCTCGGAGGAGGAGGGGGAGGAGGAGGGGGAGGAGGAGGAGGAGGAGAAGGAGGAGGAGGAGGAGGAGGAGGACAACGAGGAGGAGGAGAACGACGAAGAGCGAGGAGCGAGGATGAGGGAAGGAGGAGGAGGAGGAGGAGGAGAGGAGTAGCGAGATGAGGATGAGTAGGAGGAAGGAGGAGGAGAAGAGGAGGATGAGTAGGAGGAGGAGGAGGAGTAGCGAGAATGAGGTAGGAGGAGGAGGATAAGGAGGAGGTAGGAGGAGGAGGGGAGGAGGATAAGGTGGGAGGAGAGGAGGGAGGAGGAGGAGGGACTGGATGCGGTATGAGGTGGCTGAAAGGATGAATGGTGCCTCAGACCCAGGAGGCGGACAGGCGGAGGGGAAAAAAAGGAAGGAGGAGGAGGGGGAGGTGAAGGACCAGTGCAAAACCCAAGACACAAAAACGATGTTGCAATACATCCTCCCTCCGCGTTCCCTCTGCATCGGTCCCTTGACACATTGATTTTCGCTTCGAGAACTGCTCCGTTGGAACGCAAACGTCTGAGAATCCTTCATCGCGCCAGCAAACCACTCCTTGGACTTTAAGGCCGCGGATCGTCTTTACTGCTGTGCCCTGACAGTCCTGAATCGTGCCAGACAACCAACCATTCCTGGGACTGGACTTATGATGCTCCCGTCGTACTTAAGGGCCACATCCCAGAAATAATCTCAAGCACCCCAAACAAGTATCGAAACAGCGTCGAGCGAGTTTCGCCTCCCAGGGCCCCACGCGTGAACACCCTCCAGTTTCGGTACTTCTCATGTGCTCGACATGCTTTCTGGTGGTCAAGGCTAAAGCAGGTTGGAACATCATGAGACTGGACGAGGGAGGAGGAGGAGGAGGAGGAGGAGGAGGAGGTGAGGGAGGAGGAAGGAGGAGGGAGGAGGAGAAAGGAAAAGGGAGGGTGGAGGGGGGGAGGAGGAGGGGAGGAGACGAAGGGAGGAGGACGAAGAGGAGGACGAAGAGGAGGAGATGGAGGAGGACGAAGAGGAGGAGGAGGAGGAGGAGGAGGAGGAGGAGGAGGAGGGGAGGGGGGGGGGGGGAGGAGGAGATGACTCAGCAGCGGCGGGGGGCAGCGGGGCCGCGGCGCAGCGGCGGGGGCAGCGGCCGCCCGGGCCGCCCGGCGCGAGCCCGCGCCCCTAAGGACAAAAAGGTCAAGCAGCGCGTGGAAGAGGAGGACGGGCGGCGGAGGAGAACGCGGAGGAGGAGGAGGAGGAGGAAGGAGAGGAGGAGAGGAGGAAGAGAAGAGGAGGGAGGAGGAGCGGAGGAGCAGGAGGAGGAGGGAGGACAGGAGGCGAGGAGCAGGGAGGAAGGAGGAGGAGGCGGAGAGACCGGCACGCTCGGAGAAGAAGGGGTCTCTACCTTCCCCTCCCCCCTACCCCCCGGGTCCCCCCCAAAGAAAATGAAAACAAACCCAAAAAACACAACCACCATACCACGAAGGGGAAAAAAACCCCCGGAGCAGCCACAAAAAGACCAGAAAACCCACAAACCCGCCAACTAGAAGCAAACAAAAACAAACACCACCCAAACACAGACAACCCACCAGCATACCACCCACAAAAAAACCAACAGAACCAAACACACAAAACTCGGAGGAGACGCAGCGAGCCAGGGGACGCCCGGGCGTCGCGCGGAGCCAGGTGCTGCCCGGGCGTGCCGGGGCCCGAGGGCCGCTCCGCCCATCCCCACCTCGACGGGCTCTCGGTGGCGGTGGTCTCTCCCTCCTCCTCCTCCTCCTCCGCCTCCTCCTCCTCCTCCTGCTCCTCCTCCCCTCCTCCTCCTCCTCCTCCTCCAGTCCTCCTCCTACCTCCTCCTCCTCCGCCTCCCTCCTCCTCCTTCCCTCTCCTCACTCCTCCTCCTCCCTCCTCCCCCTCCCACTCTCCTCCCCCTCCTCCTCCTCCTCCCCCTCTCTCCTTCACCCCCCCCCCCCTGGGCGCGCCGCTCCAGGGAACCGCGCGGAGCTCCGCCAGCTCCACGTACTGATTTTCCCAGCGCCGGGAGGGGCTTGTATCGAGGAATGGGCCCCTCTGTGAGGCCGAAGCCACTGCTGCAGCAATTTCGTAACCCCCCCGTTCCCAATCCCCCCCTTTCGTCCGGCCCGATCTCTCCGGGCCGCCCTTGCGGCACCCCCAGCGCCGGTCGAAGAAATCCACGTGGACCTCCGAAAGTCTACGTCGGGTTCGTGTCGTGCCGACTTCGGCGTTGGTTTCTGACACCGCGGGGATCGTTCGGCCTTGAACGATCGGCCGTTTCCGAACCGTCCAACTCTTTCCACATCGAACGATTCTGGGTCGCCGCGGCGTTCAAAGTTGAACGCCGCTGGCGGGGTCGCCGCTGGTCGACACAACACGGACCTACCGTATGCCCATGCCAGTATGCTGTATATTTTTCTTCTTTGACAGACGATCCCCATACCCTGGACCTCTCGTCCTGTCCTCCACTCCATGCGCGTAGCCTCGGAAGAATGGTCGACCTGAGTAACCACTATCATCAAGTTGCTGCGCGAGCTAAGCTATGGCGGCTCTGGTGGAATTACCGACGGATGCCTCAACGCTGATTATATATAGAACCAACACGCTGGAATGCTGAATCTCGTTCCTCACCCGTCTGACTCAAAGCGATACTTGGAGGATTGGGAGTCGATGCTTCCCACCCCTGAGCATATGCCTCATATGCCTCGCCTCATCCGGCGGCGAGCGAAGGGGAAGTGAGAAGGAGAAGGCCTTCTCAGAAGGCGGCGGGACTTCTTAGAAACCCTCGCGCCTTCTGGGAAATCTTCTGCGTCTCCGGGGATGGCTTAGGACACTTCTCAGAAGGCTGGGGAACTCCCGAGCCTTCTGAGCAGGCCCGCCCCTTCTCACTTCCCCACCCCCCTCGCTCGCCGCCGAACCTTTGGAGGCCTGGAAATTGGCACCAACACAAGCACAGGGGGGTGCCTCCACAGGGGGAAGAGGATCCTAGATTTCGGTGTTGGTGGTAATATTTCGGTCACCTTGGAAGCCACAATATTACCACCATTACCGAGATCGGGATCGTCTTCCCTCGGTGGAGGCACACCGCCGATCTTGGTGTTGGTGTCAACCTCTAATTAGGCCTGCGAAACCTGTACTTCTCCCACGGCTCATGCCCACCCGAGCCTAAGACGAAGGCAGCTTGAGGACTCCCTCGGACTAGGACCACGCAGACTCTCTCCAGAAGCAAGCGCGGATCCCGAGGATGTATCGGGCGCGGCGGCGGCCGTTCCGGAGCGCCACGGATTGATACGAGATCGTACCAGAACGCGCTGCAGCGATGTATCCTCATCCTGGGCCTGCCCTGCGTAGGCCCTGGAAACGACAGGGCCGTTTCTTGTTATCGGCTCCGTTGTGCCGTTTTGCTGGCGGCTCCAGCGCAGTTGGTTTTCCGGTCCCGTCGCCGTTTTCGCGGCTTGTTACGATTCCAATGCCAATTCTGGAGTCGTTTTTTCGCTGCTTCCGGTTGCCTTTTTGCATTACCACTTTCAAGAGCTATTGTGTCAAAGAAGAAAACGGCCCTGCCGCTTCGGGGGCCCTCTAAAGGCCAGCCTGAATCATGCCCACCCCGACCGCGCTGAACTGTTTCGCAAATGTTTGGCCTCGGGGGGGACATTTCCCCGAACCAGAACCGTCAAACAACGACTCTGGATGAACAGACATCCACGGATCGAGTAGGAGGTCGACAACAGAATTGAGATATCCCAGAGTAGTGCTTTCCGTCGAATCGACGAGGAATACGTAGACTACTCCGTCGATTGGAACAGAATTTGCCGTTTTTTCTGCTCACACGTCGCAAACGATAATCTTGGAGGTGCATCAGTTCTGTAGTCGATCCCCGAATTGTAGCCAGATCTATGCCACGAGAACATCCCTCAAGAACACGGAACCCTCCGTAGGCCAAAACGCACAGCTCTTCCAGGGGTACCCTCCACAGGGTGCAGGAGAACATCCAACAGACACGAAGAACACTAGGGTACTTTGGTCGTGGAAGTCATTGGTTATCTCAACGTTTGGTCTCAAGAATCTCTGCGAGGCGGCGCCCCTGCCGACACGCATGCCCTCTGCTGCAGATGAATTCAAACATACCGTCGCTACGCACACCCTCTGCGCGCCAAGAGACCCGAAACCAATCACATTTCCCATCACAGTAGCCCCCCCCCCCCGGAGACGACCTCGATCTCACACCTCGGCCCCACGGTGCGTCGGATCTCTTGGCCCCAACCGGCACACCGCCTCGGGGCCGTGCCGCTCACTCCGTCCCTCCTGCGGTGGCACCACAGACGCGTGGCACAAACGTCCTGGCACACTCAGAGGCGGATCTGAGAGCTTGAGGCAGACTCTGGAAACCCTGAACATACAAAACATGCATTCTCTTGGGCGGGCAATTCTGACAGCAGGAGCTCGACCACAAGGAACCTTCCACAAAAAACCAACCCTGGACCCCCAGGACTTCGATTCAATTTCGGCGTGGGAACGTCACGGCTTCCATCACAAGACCATCGAAACCCAGGGCACCCTGGAGGCAAGCAGGGTGCTTCTTGGCATGGGTTTCCACTGTACTTCCACTGGCAGCGGAGGCGGCCTCGTCTCACTTCCGCCGCCATTCGACGAGGAGGCGATGCCGAGGTCATCGCTCCCTCGAAGGAGAGGCAGTTTCTGAACTGCCTCATGTCTCAAGAAGTGGACCGCACGGCTTCTGCTGTCTCCCTGTGGTCTTCCCGCTCGGTTTGACGCCGCGGGTGCAGGCTCGATGAGGGGCAAAGTGAGGGGAGGAACCGGCTGAGCGGGGGAAACATCGGCCTGGAATCTGCGATGCACCGCCGATAGATCGGCGACAGGCCCCCGATAGCGAATCCGCACGTTCTGGGCGCGGTGAGGCCGTCGGGCCCCCGATCGGCAAGCAATGTGCCATGATACTCAAGCTTCTGCTAAGAAATCTCCTGGCAAGAGATTGAGAGCCAGCTTCGCAGAGTCGCTTAACCTTCTTGCGAGAGCCAGATTTGGAAGCGTACAATCTCTTACCGCAGCACGGTACCTGCGCTGGTGGTTGAGACGAGGATTGCGCTGGTGATTGTGCCGATGACAGTGCCAGGGAAGGGCTCAACTGTTCTCTTGTTGTTTCGTATAAGAGCGACGATTCAACGAAAACGCCGTGCAATGCGAGCTCGAGTGAAGATGTAGGTGAAGATTGAATCAGTGAGAGCACGAGTGAAGATTAGGTGACGATTTAGAAGACGGTTTATGCAGTGAGAACGTGAGATACGGCTCACGTGAAGAAATTATCTGACGGTTTAAGCAGAGAGAGAGAGAGAGGCGAGTGAATAATAAGGGGAATGTTTATGCCGTGAGAGCGCGAGTGAAGAGTTAGGTGAATAGTTCAGCAGTGAGAGCGCGAGTGAGGATTGGGAGATGACAAGGTATAGGTGAAGATGTGAGTAGTTAGAACGCGAGTGCAGATGCAGGTGAACAGTGCGGCAGTGAGAGCGCGAGTGAAGACTCAGGTGAAGAATTAGGTGACGATTTAAGCAGAGAGCGTGAGTGAAGATTTAGGTAAATATTGAAGTCAACGTGGAAGTTTGGTGACGATTCAATCAGTGAGAGCGCGATGCAAACTTTAAGCAAAGACCCAGGTGAAGATATAAGCAGTAATTGCGCGAGAGAAGAGTTAGGCGACGCCTCAAGTGAAGCTTTAAGCAGAAAGAGCGCAAGTGAAGATCTAAGCGACGATGTAGGTAACCTTTGGAGCAGTGGAGCGCGAGAAAGGCCTTGCGTGAAGACTTAAGTAAAGATTTAGGTGAACATTTGAGCAGTGAGATTGCGAGTGAAGATTTAGGCGGTCAAGGTTTAGGCTGAGATCAAAGCAGTGAGAGCGCGAGTGAAGATTTGGCGATCTAGGTGAGGTTTGAGCAGCTAAGAGGGGAAGATCTGGGGAAGATCTTGAGGAAGACCTGGGCGGGGATATCCGGGAGCACTATAAGAAGCTGGGCCAGCTGTTGGAAAGTCGGCGTTGGATTACAAGACTTGGTGGAAGGGAGTGCTGACATACGGCGACGCCTGAACTGAGCGCCTCCGAACGTATCACACTACGCGTCCGCGGTCCTCGCTTATGGCGTAGCTCCCGTTCCAGTAGCACGTGCTCCAGTCTCTGTTCGGGAACTCCACGGGACACCCCTGCAGCAGAAGAATCACAAATCTGCATGAACCGCACACGCTTCTCTCAAGATCCCTCTCGCTCCTGGCGATAATCGCCCTCGGCCTCCACGCCGTCTGGCGGCCCATCGGGACGATTCTGGCACCCCTGGCATGCTCTCGGCGAGGCGCATCCGCGTGAGAACATTCCCGAGGATGGAAGATGGCCCCCAAAATGAAGGACATCCTTCAGGGCGGCTGCCTTGCCCCGAACTGGAACAATAAAAAACGGAACAGCATCGCGGATCTACTGACCCAGGTCAATCCAAATCTGGGTCAGTCGGGTGTTGCAGGATCCTGCAGGATCCTGCACCACAGCCTGGGTGATGGCGCCCCTGGCGCTGCAGGATCCTGCGCGATCCGGCGCTCTGACTGAACCCCGTTTGCATTGACCCCCGTTTCTTGAGCCCCGAAAATATAAAGTCTCGGAGTTCCAGGCGGACTTCTGTGATCGGCGCTGGAACCCCCCTGTGCCGCGCCAGGGGTGGCGCCAGAGGCGCCGCCAGGGGACTCGAACGCCGATTCAAGAACTTCCCGCGAACCCACCAAATCCGCACGAGCCCACGACAGTTCGGGAACTCCACGGGGCACCCCTGTAGGCTGGGTGTCGGCCCAAACATCTCCAACCATATGATGCTTCGAGCCGGCGCTGTCCTCGATTTCGGCCTCGTGGGCCGCTTCCGGGCCCTTGGGCCATCAAAAGTGGATCCGAGACGACAAGCTACCCCTGGGGGAGCGGCCGGGACCTCTGGGGGCGCGCCTTCTCTCGGTCGTGAAGGGCGGTCGCCGCACATGCCCCGGCTGTCAGATCGCAGTTTTTTCCCCGTTTCTCTTGCGCGACCTCCCCCGACGCTCAGCAAGGTCCATGCTTCGCCACCGAGCCCACCCGCGCTCAACTGAATGTGCACCGACCAGGCTGTGCAGACAAAATCTCGGCCAAGCTGGCGCTATGCAGGACTCGGCAGGAAGGCCTGCCGGAATCATCGCTCAGGCACCGATCGAGGTGCAGGATCGCAGTGGTGCGACTGGCTGTCAGCCATCGTGGGCGGGCAGAGGAAGGCTTTCGCTAGGCAGATTCGGCCAGAGGGTTCGGCCAAGGGATCTGGGGAAGGCACGATGACGCCAACGTTCGGCGGTGGACAAACCTCCCTTTAGTAAACCTCCCTTTAGTGAAAACGGCCTGGAACCGAAACCGACGGACCTGGACCCGCAAAATTGACGGCCGCGACGCCCTCTCGCGAACCGAAAACGGCCAATTCCTGAATCGACGTGTCAGGGTAGGAGGTCGATCCACCTCCGAAACGTTCGGCGGCAAGCGAAGGGGGGAAGTGAGAAGGCGGAAGCCTTCTCAGAAGGGGAACTGGGACACACAAATAAATAGACACAAATAAAAATATCCCCCATATTTTCCCATATTTTCTGGGTTTTTGTTTTCCCCCCCACTTCCCATATTTTCCCATATTTTCTGGGAATCGCTGATTAATTGTGTCTGTGTGCTTCTTTCCCTCCTGATTCTCAGAAGGCGGCGAGGCTTCTCGGAAACCCTCGCGTCTTCGCAGGCTTCCGGTGTCCTCGGGGACGGCGTACCAAAAACCTCCCGGGGAGGGCCGGCGGCCTCCCGAACCTCCTGCGCGGCCTCCGACATTCAAGGGGCACAAGGACACACAAACAAATACACACAGATAAAACGATACCCCATATTTTCCCATATTTTCTGGGCTTTTGTCTTCCCGCCCAATTCCCATATTTTCCCATATTTTCTTGGGGGCCGCCGATTAATTGTGTCTGTGTGTTTTTTCCATTTCTGATACATACAGTGGGACCTCATTGGACAGGACACGCGTCAGGACGAAAGACCCTGCCGAGGGCCACTTTTCCGCAGAAGCGCAGGGGGCACGGGTCGCGAGACACAGGACACAAAATTAGCCTGGCGAAGGACCCAACCATATGCAGTTGAGAGTACCGCAATTGTGAATATCTTCTTCGGTGGCGCTCCCTATGGGGCCACGAGCCGTATGAGGGGTGTGCCGACATGCGTGGCAGTGTACACAACACGAACGAAGACGATAGGTCCGAATATGAAAGCTTGAGCGCGTGCGAGTCGGATCGCGAGCGAGTCTGATTATGAATGAATCTGCGCGCGATTGATTCTATTCGCATGAATGCGTGCATGGATACGCCCAGTGTAAATGTATGTATACGACTGTGAACAGTTTGGGTCTGCGTGACTCTCGGTACTCGTGACTCTGAGCGTCGCCTCTGCAGGGGGCTTCCCTGGGAACCCCGACGGCAGCGCCCGCGCGCCGCGACGCCCATGTCGGCACGCCACACACCTGGTGTGCGGGACGCATGCGGACGGCAGCACTGGGGCCTTCGGTGGAGCTCCCTGTGGGGCCACGAAACGTGTGAGGGGTGTGCCGAAATGGGTGTGCGGGACGCATGCGGACGGCAGCCATGGGGCCTTCGGTGGAGCTCCCTATGGGGCCACGAAACGTGTGAGGGGTGTGCCGAAATGGGTGTGCGGGACGCATGCGGACGGCAGCACTGGGGCCTTCGGTGGAGCTCCCTGTGGGGCCACGAAACGTGTGAGGGGTGTGCCGAAATGGGTGTGCGGGACGCATGCGGACGGCAGCCATGGGGCCTTCGGTGGAGCTCCCTATGGGGCCACGAAACGTGTGAGGGGTGTGCCGAAATGGGTGTGCGGGACGCATGCGGACGGCAGCACTGGGGCCTTCGGTGGAGCTCCCTGTGGGGCCACGAAACGTGTGAGGGGTGTGCCGAAATGGGTGTGCGGGACGCATGCGGACGGCAGCACTGGGGCCTTCGGTGGAGCTCCCTATGGGGCCACGAAACGTGTGAGGGGTGTGCCGAAATGGGTGTGCGGGACGCATGCGGACGGCAGCATGGGGCCTTCGGTGGAGCTCCCTGTGGGGCCACGAAACGTGTGAGGGGTGTGCCGAAATGGGTGTGCGGGACGCATGCGGACGGCAGCCATGGGGCCTTCGGTGGAGCTCCCTATGGGGCCACGAAACGTGTGAGGGGTGTGCCGAAATGGGTGTGCGGGACGCATGCGGACGGCAGCCATGGGGCCTTCGGTGGAGCTCCCTTTGGGCCACGGTGAGGGGTGTGCCGAAATGGGTGTGCGAAACGTGGGGCCTTCGGTGAGCTCACGAAACGTGTGAGGGGTGTGCCGAAATGGGTGTGCGGGACGCATGCGGACGGCAGCACTGGGGCCTTCGGTGGAGCTCCCTGTGGGGCCACGAAACGTGTGAGGGGTGTGCCGAAATGGGTGTGCGGGACGCATGCGGACGGCAGCCATGGGGCCTTCGGTGGAGCTCCCTATGGGGCCACGAAACGTGTGAGGGGTGTGCCGAAATGGGTGTGCGGGACGCATGCGGACGGCAGCCATGGGGCCTTCGGTGGAGCTCCCTGTGGGGCCACGAAACGTGTGAGGGGTGTGCCGAAATGGGTGTGCGGGACGCATGCGGACGGCAGCAACGGTGGGCCTTCGGTGGAGCTCCCTATGGGGCCACGAAACGTGTGAGGGGTGTGCCGAAATGGGTGTGCGGGACGCATGCGGACGGCAGCCATGGGGCCTTCGGTGGTCGGTGGAGCTCCCTGTGGGGCCACGAAACGTGTGAGGGGTGTGCCGAAATGGGTGTGCGGGACGCATGCGGACGGCAGGAGGGAGGAGGGGGAGGAGGAGGAGGAGAAGGAGGTGGGACGCGGGGCGCTGTCTCTTCAAAACGAGGACCCAACACCACAGGATGGTTGGGAAATACCGCAGGTTTGCGTCGTGTCGACCCAGGCGATGGTTCTTGACACCGCGGGAATCGTTCAACCTTGAACGATCGGCCGCTGCCGCAACGTCCGATCGTTCAACATCGATCGATTCTGGGTCGCCGGCGGCGTTCAACCTTGAACGCCCGCGCTGGGGTCGCCGCTGGTCGACACGACGCAAACCTACCGTACCCTTGATTTGGCAGGGTCGACCTACTAATCCGGGCCGACATTAGGTGGGGTGGTCCAGGTAGGCGAGGTCGAAAAGCCGCACCGCATCGCCAATGCATCGCCGGTCTATCGGCGATGCGTCCGCGACGTCGGCGATGCGTCGGCGACGTCGGCGTGGGGAAACATCGAGCTCCACATCGAGGCGCATCGCCGATACATCGGCCATGCGGCGCGATCCTCCGACCCCATCTATCGGGAGCGACCAAGAGGGGGGGCCAGGGACGTAACAGAATAAGAAGAGGCGCCATGAAATCTGGGGAAATGTCATGGCCCACGCCATGATATCCACCCCCCCCTAGTCATCACCCCCCTCTTTTCCGCTCCCGAATCTACTCCGACGCCATGTAGGGCCGCCCCTTCTCACTCCCCCCCGGGGCTCGCCTCCGAAACGCTCCACCAAACTTGCCCCGAGCGCCGAGTGGGGTGAGGCGGTTTGCGCAGGGACCGCCCGTCCTGGCATGTCTATAGGCCTACCACGATATGTTTTGAAAACCCAGCAATGTTCGAAGAAGAGAAGCAATGTTCTTAGAACATGAACCCGATGTGTGAAAACAAAACGGTCCTAGCCAGACACGTTTTAAGGACATCTCGTGCAGACCACAGCTGGCTCTCAGAACATTCCTCGGAAGGCCTATAAGCGATCCGACGGATGCGCCGAAGAGGAGGGTCAGAGAGAGCGGGGGTAGCGCACGGCACGGTGCACATGCGCGGACGCAGGGGGGGACTACAGCCGAGGCGTCAGATGGGGAGGACGCGCAGTGAGGGTGCAAGGGCCCTGGAAGGGGCCCAGAGACACAAACAAACACACGCATCCCCAGAATTCCCCATACTTTCTCATGTTCTCTTGATGTTCGTTTTACCCTCCACTTCCCATAGTTTCCCACATTTTCCCAGGAATCGGCGTTTGTTTGTCCGTGTGTGTCTTTTCCTTCTGAGCCTTGGACGGCCATTTTGACACATTTCGAGAGGGGCGCGGCCCGCGAAAGTGGCCGAGGATGGGCCGAAGGTGCAAGGATGCAAGGGGTAGCCTTGGAGAGATGCTCTGCCTCACTGTGCGCTTTGCCTGCAGGAGACGCGTGAAGAGACCAGGAGAGGGCATTCAAACCTAGAAGATCTCCTGGGCCCGGCCAGGGTATCCACACGCGTAGCCCTCACTCCCCTAGAACGACCGCCGGCGAAGACGACGGCCCGCGAAGACGACCGCTGAGACGGCCAGGCTCGGCCAGAATTACAATGGAGGCCAGTCCACAAGAAACCTTCCACACGAAACCCAACCCCGAGACCCCAGGACGCCCACTCATTTTTGGTCTGGGAACGTCGCGCTCTCCATCGCAAAACCCAAGAAACCCAAGAAACCCAGAGCAACCTGGAGGCAAGCAGGGTGCTTCTTGGCATGGCCCCCCACTGTAAAGATGGAAACTCGAAAGGCCGCGCGGACTTCTCGAATCGGCGCTCCACGCGCCAAGGGCGGCGCCGGAGGCGCCGACAAGCGGGTCCAGCGCCGATCCGAGAAATCCGCGCGGACCTCCGAGTTGTTATGTTGATTTCATTGTTCGCTCCCCCTTGCTGGGCGCTTCTTGGCAAGGATGCTTCTTGGCAGGGGTGCTTCTTGGCAAGCAGGATGCTTCTTGGCAAGGGTGCTTCTTGGCAAGGGCCTCCACTGTGCGATCGGCGAGCGCCGTGCCGAGGTTTGGGGGGGCACCAACGTCCCCGCGCGCCTCTCTCGCCGCCCCTGGCGGCCTGGCGCAGCGCGCGTGGCCACAAGAACACGGGTCAAGAACGAGAGCCCCTTCAACCGCAGGTCCGATGCCTCGTGGAGGTAAAAAAAAACATCCCGCCCCTCCCCCCCCCCCCCCAAAATGGGAAGCCCAAGCACAAGTACCGTCAGGGCGTGCCTCCAAAGCCAGGGCTCGTCCTGAACCCCGCGCAGGCTGTGCAGAGATTGACAAGACCATCCCGCCCCCCCCCTCGAGTGGGGAGCCCAAGCACAAACAACGTCAGGGTTCCCCTCCAAAGCTGGGGCTCGTCCTGACCCCCGCGCAGACTGTGCAGACATTTTCGAGAGGAAGGCTTGGATGTGCGTCCAGCGAGAACAGGACAGGAATACCTGTTCCCAGACTCACCCGGCAATGCCGTTCTCAGCAACGCCTTGAAAGCTCAGTCGAGCGTGCCCGCAGGGTGCGCTTCCACACCCTGTGGTCCCGACAGCCTCGCGTCAACAATCCGTAGGCTGGGCGGAAGGGGTGGTCGCATGGTGTCCCCTGAGGCCACGCTGACAGCGACGTTGGCTAACGGCGATGTCGGAATTCTGGTTTCTGCGACTCCAAACTCGCGCAGAACAAATGGTAGGAAAACAAAACACCAGCAACGCGTTCCCACAAGTGGGTTGGCCACGAACCACCCCCACCTGCAATACCAAAGACCTACAGTCGGACCTAGGACAGAAGAACATCCTTCAAGAACATGAGACCCTCCGCCGGCCCAAACACCCCAAGCCACAAGATCACTCGAGGGTACCCTCTTCCAGAGTGTACAAAAACATCCAACAAGCACGAAGAACCCTAGGGCACCCTCCCCGAACCGAGCTCGACCTTGTACCTCGGTCCGACCGTACATCGCAGTTCGAGTTGGGAGCAGGCCAGCGATGGAGGGGGGGAGGGGGGCAAAAGCCTGTGGGCACGCTGATGATCCCGCGCGCTCGCCCGGCGAGCGCAGCTCGGCCTCTCGAGAGCAAAGCCTGGACAATGCGGCCAAGAAGGTCTTCGCAACAGTCCGGGAGAAGGAAACCGCGGCGTGGGCATAAACGTTTGGAACTCCGCGCGGAATGTTTGGGGATCGGCGCTGGATCCCCCCTCCCTGGCGCGCAGAGAGCGCCAGGGGCGGTGCCGATCCAGGCAACCCGCGCGAACCTCAAACAAAACGTATATATGCCTGCTTTGCCTAACAAGCTCGTTCCACTGCTCGCAGAGTAGCTGCTTGTAAATGGCATGGCTCCGCTGCGAGGGATCCACGATTCAACACATTGGAGGCAGGCGCATGTTTTTTGCTTTCTTATCGGACGCCGTTTGAGAGTGATCACTCTACGAGTGATGGCACGCGCCTGGTGCTCTTCCTACCTTCCTCGACATACAGTGGAGGCCAGTCCACAAGAAACCTTCCACAAGAAACCCAACCCTGAGACCCCAGGACGTCCGTGGACTTTTGGCGTGGGAACGCCACGCTCTCCATGGCAAAACCATCAGAACCCAAGTAACCAAAGGCACCCCGGAGGCAAGCAAGGTGTTTCTTGGCATGGGCCCCCACTGTAGCGGAACGCGCCGCCTGCAAGTGACCCGGCTCCGCCGCGAGGGATCTACGATCCATCACATCGGAGGCAGGCCTGTGTCTCGTTCGGACGCTTGCGAGTAATCACTTTGTGAGTAATGGCACGCGCCTGGTGATTTCCTTCGACGTACGTTGAGCAGGGACCGACCGTCCCCGCATTCCAATTGCCTTACCACGAAATGTTCTTAGAACCCAGAAATGTTCTAAGAACAAAAGCCATGTTCTCAGAGCGTCCACGGCGGATCCTCCCAAGAAAGAGAGAGAGAGAGAGAGAGCGGGGGGGAGGAGGAGCAGGAGGAGGAGGAGGAGGAGAAGGAGGAGGAGGAGCAGGAGGAGCAGGAGGAGGAGGAGGAGGAACAGGAGGAGGAGGAGGAGGAGGAGGAGGAGGAGGAGGGAGTAGGGAGAGGAGCAGGAGCAGGAGGAGGAGGAGGAGGAGGAGGAGGCGGGGGAAGAGGAGGAGGAGGAGGAGGAGGAGGAGGAGGAGGAGGAGGAGGAGGAGGATAGTAGGAGGAGGAGACAGAGAGAGTGAAAGAGACGGCAGGTTCGTGTCGTGCCGACCTCGGTGTTGGTTTCTGACACCGCGGGGACCGCTCAGTTGTGAACGATCGGCCGTTTCAGAAACATCAGGTCGTTCAACATCGACCGACTCTGGGGCGCCGGCGGAGTTAAACATTGAACGCAAGCGGCGGGATCGCCGCTAGTCGACACGACGCGAACCTACCGTAGATGCTGGTTCTGGGGACCTTCCTGGAGCCACTCGCTCCACTCTGGCGTGAATGCTACGTCGAACGTCCGTCGACTTGAGCCGAGCGTGGGTCGAACTAGACGGGGTAACAAACGATAACATAAGACACATACATGAAAACTCTGAGGTCCGCGCGGACCTCCGAGTTCTTGTGCTCTGCCTGCTGTCGCTTGGTATCTTCCCCTAGAGTCAACTGGAGCCGAGCCGTCGAGCTGGCCCCGGGAAGGTCCCCCCGCACGATCGGCCGAAAAGAACGGCGGTCGTCGAAGGGCCACCGCGCCCGCGCCGTCGAGGAGGCCGGGTGCCAGGTGCGACGTGTCGCCGGCGGGGTAGCTGCTGATCGTGAAGTTCCTGCCAGCGGGGTGGCGTGGCGGTGCACGCGCACTCGGGCCCTCACAAGGCATGCTCGCGTCGCGACAAGACTCACGACGGAAGATGTGCGGCCGCTTTTGGCCTCTGGGAGGCCCTCGCTGGGCCCTGGGACCGTCAACGAAAGGCTCGGGATGAAAAACCTTTGCCGCAGCCCTTGTGGAGAGGGTCGGGACTACCCCTAACCCTTTGGGAGGGGACCTGACTCAGGAGAGCCACAATCATGAGGAGCACGGGGTCTGTTCTGCAGGTGCAGATAACCAGACCGTCAAGATCCATGTTCCCTAATGCAGAGACGGGGGGCCCGTCTTCAATATGAGATTCAGGTTAGGGGTTCTTTTGATCCTCGATGAGATTTTCTGAGTTAGAAGAAGACGAAGAATAATGGTAAGAATGTGCAAAAAAAACACAATAAACATTAACTGTTGGCGCTCCGCGCGGAATTCTTGGATCCGCGCTGGCCACCCCTCCCCGGCGCGCGGAGCGCGCCAGGGGCGGCGCCGGAGGCGCCGCCGTGGAGGCCCAGGCGCGGATCCAAGAAATCCGCACGGAGCGCCAAAAGTTTATGTTTATGTGGTTGTTTCTTCTTCGAAGGCAGGGTTGGGGCTTCTGAATGGAGAAAGGGTCGGGGTTTCTTCGATGAGACTTTCCGACTGGAGACAGGGTCAGGGCTTCTGAAGACCGCCGTGTCTGAGCACAAGCAGTGCGTCAGATCTCTTGCGAAGGGGCCCAGGGACACACAAATCACCAGACACAAACGACGGGATCCCCCATCCTCTCCTATATCTTCTGGATTCCCGTCCTCCCCTACTACACTTTCCCACATCCGTGTGTTTTTGTCCCTCCTGATCTTGGCCCTAGAGCCGCACTCGTCCTCCCCCACACTTTCCCACATCTTTGCATAATTATCTTCCTGGGAATCGACGATCCGTTGTGCCCGTGTGTTTTTTCCCTCCTGATCTTGGCCTTAGAGCCGCACTCGTCCTCCCCCACACTTCCCCACATCTTTGCATAATTATCTTCCTGGGAATCGACGATCCGTTGTGCCCGTGTGTTTTTTCCCTCCTGGTCTTGGCCCTAGATCGGGAGCGGCCAAGAGGGGGGTGTCCAAGAGGGGGGGGTGCAAATCATGACCGGCGGCATGTGCGCGGCCCGGGGGGGGGGCCAGGGACGTAAAGAAATAAGAAGAGGCGCCACGAAATCTAGGGAAATACCATGGCCCCCGCCATGGTATCCACCCCCCCCTAGTCATCACCCCCCTCTTTTCCGCCCCCGAGAAACAATAAAAAAACGGCCCTGCCGTTTCCCGGGCCCACGAAGCCCTGCGGGGCACCATGCGGGGCGGGCGGGGGCCTCGCTGGAGTTCTCCGCTGCGCCCGAGGAGGCGCGACGGGGACAGCGTCGTTTTCCGCCCCCGATAGAGCACCGGCTCAAAACCGTGCCGCCCACCGGGGCGCCGGGCCCGCCGGCCCGCCGCCGAAGAGACGGAGCAGCAGCAGGAGCACCTCTCGACCTCCACCACGGCCCTTCGGCGGTGGACAACCCTCCCTTCCTCAGGAGGGGAAAAAACACACAGACACAATTAATCGTCCACTCCCAAGAAAATATGGGAAAATATGGGAAGTGGGGGGGAAGACAGAAACCCAGAAAATATGGGAAAATATAGGGAATCCTTTTAATTGTGTCTATTTATTTGTGTGTCCTGGGGCTCCTTGCCTTCCGTCAGCCTCCCCTTGGTGAAAACGGCCTGGGACCGAAACCGACGGGCCTGGGCCCGCAAAAATGACGGCCGCGACGCCCTCTCACGAACCAGGAGCGGCCACTTCGCTCATCGACGTGTCAGGGTAGGAGCTCTACCCACCCCCGAGCCATGGGGGGAACGGAAGCGGGGGGGGAACGAAAACGGGCCGCTGGAGGCCTGGAAATGGGCACCAGCACCAACAAGGGGGTTGCCTCTACTCGGGCCGGGCGAAAGGGGGGCATAGCAAAGGGGGGGCATAGCTCCGGGAGGCGCCCATGTATCTAAGTCTAGGACTGGGCCCGGAGGCGGGGCCGAAACCAGCTGATGCAGCAGATTTCGACCCCCCCCCCTTTCCCAATCCCCCCCCTTTCGTCCGGCCCGATCCACAGGGGGGAAGACGATCCCAGATTCCGGTGCTGGTGGTACTCCTTCGGTCACATTGAAGCCAGAATCTTACCACCAGCCACCGAGATCGGGATCTTCCCTCGGTGGAGGCACCCCGCCGGTGTTGGTGTTGGTGTCGACCTCTGGGCCTTTGCGAGGCTCGGGGGGAACGAAGGGGGGAGATAGCAGAGGGTAGGGTTAGGTCGGGCCTGTCCCCCTACAGGGGGATTTGGGGCGAACAATGAAAAATACTCAAAAAATGCATAAAAAAATTAAAAATAGCAAAACAAATCGTCCCCATACTATTCTTTACTATTTTTGAAAGCCCCCCCTGTAGAGGGACAGGCCCGACGTAAGGGTAGGGTAGAGAATCAGCTCACGCAGCTGATTTTCCCAGCGCCCCCCGGCACCTGGAGGCGCCCATGTGTGGAGGAATGGGCCCGGCGGCGGGGCCGAAGCCGGCTGCATGCAGCAGATTTCGTACCCCCCCGTTTCCCTGTCCCCTCCTTTCGTCCGGCCCGGCAGCCATTGGCGGCGAGCGAGGGCCAGAAATGAGAAGGGAAAAAGCCTTCTCAGACGTGAGGCCACGTCTTCACTATGCCACCAGGGTGAGGGGTTCCTTCACTCTCGGTGACAGGTGCGTTCCACACCCCCTGGACCACATTCGCCGCCTTCCGCCGACCTTCCTCCGGCCTTCCGCTGGCGTAAGCGGCCTCGTTTTACTTCCGCTACTTCCGCCGCCTTCCGCCGACCTTCCGCCGCCTTCCGCCGCGGAAGAAATGACAATTCCTTCGATCCTCGAAGGCAAGTCGCTTTTTTAGGGGCCTCCTAGATGGGGTCCGAGTTGATGGGGTCTGAGAATCGCACTGCATCGGCGATGCATCGGCGACGTCGGCGACGCATCGGCGCCATCGGCATGGAGAAAATCGGGCTCCGCATCGAGCAGCATTGGCGCTGCATCGGCGATGCGGCGCGATCCTTCGACCCCATCCAAGGAGGCCTAGATCGGAGGCGCGCAAACATGGATTAGCGATCCATGGATTTGGCGCGCGGTCGCCAAATCCATGGATCGGGGGAGGAGCCCTTCCCAAAATGTGGCCAGTGCTGCCTCGCCCGGCGGCGGCAATCCGCGATTTCCCAGGGAAACGGGACCTGTCGCCAATCCACGCCCCAGTGTAATTAAAGGCCTGGAGGAGGAAGAGGAGGAGGAGGAGGAGGAGGCGGAGGCGGAGGAGGAGGAGGAGGAGGAGGAGGGCGACGGAGGTTCAAACTGAAAGCAAGCGCTGGCCAACACCGCTGCCGCCGTGGAACAGAGAATTCCTCATGCATGTTCCGCTGGGGTCACACTTGCCGCCTCGAGCAGCACCAAAGATCCCATCCACGAGGCAAACTTTCAAACGGCAAGCGCGAATTGGTGAGCACGGTTGGGAGTCTATGGACGACGTCCTGGGAGAAACTCGTGAACAAGTTGCTTGGCGCGTGACTGCCACGAGCCCAATTCGCAGATTCGTCGCTGGTTAGTTCCATAACGCACCTGGGCCATGCGGTCTGACAACAGACTGCTGGCAAAAGCGATACCGACGACGGCTGCATCGGTGACCGCATGTGCCAGAAGCTGATCGTCCAGCCAAGCGAGCGAATGAAAGCAATGGCTGGATCCGAGAATCAGTACTCACGTGATCGAACGTCGTTGCCGCACTGCGATTCCGACCAGCGCTTGCGCAGAACAGACGCAAATATTCCCGCGCCCGCATCCAATCGGCGACAAAACGATAGGGGTGAATAGCCACGCCCGAAGCAAGTTTGCGACGGTGGCCGCCTGAAGTGGTAGTCGGTGGGGGTGTAGAGAAACACCTCGCTGGGCCAACGCCATGCCTCTCCAAGTGACAAAATAACACTCGCACACATGCACAAACGCACGCGCCCGTGTATGTGTGTGTGTGTTTGCTGGCGTTTGTATGTATACCTATGTGTATACACAGGTAATAGGACACACTAGATCGCGCGCTTCGCGCGCGCCCATGTTCTAGACGAGAAATTTGCGGTTCCTGCAGCAGCAAACGTTATGCTCCGCGATGTGCTTCAGCCTCCATCTGCCGTTCATCCCCCTCTGTCGGAGGTCGCTTAATGGCGGGGCGATAAGTGAGGGGGAGAGGAAAAGGTACACTTGCTGGGCCCTAAAGGCGTTCTTGTGGGCCCTAATGGCCCCTTTGGGGGCCCTCAAGGCCGCTCTTCTGCAGCCCTCGCTGCCCCCGCCTTCGTTGCCCCCCCCATTACGCGACGCCCGACTCTGCCGTTCCTCCCCCTCTGCCCGTTCCTCCCCCTCTGCCGTTCACCCCTGCTGCTGGACGACGCGGGGGAGCGGGGGGTGCAAGGGCACTGCGGAGAGAGCTGGAGTGAGTGGGGACGCGAAGATTACAAATCGTCGCCGTCGCCGTCGCCGTCGCCGTCGCCGTCGTCGTCGTCGCCGTCGTCGCACCGAGCGCGACCCACGGGAAGCTCCGCGCCCCTCCCCCGGCGCTCCAAGCGTGCGACAAGGGAGCGCCACCGCGCCCCTGCGCGGCACGCGGCCGCACCCAGGGGGCGGGGGCCCCTGTCGCCGGGGCTGAGGGCTCGTGCTCTCTCGCCGTCGGGCACAGCAGGCCCGAGTCTGAAGGTGTGTCTGGGAGCGAGGGGGAAGAACTAGATGATATATATATATATATATAATTCAGATACATGCGAACCTGCATACAAACACACACACACACACACCTATATATATATATGAGCATATGTGTAAATGCATGTATATACAAAGTATAGTTCTCTGACTGGATGTATGTATATATGCATATGGGCGCATGCATATATATATATATATATATATATATATATATATATAGGTACTAGAACCACGCGCGCGCTTCGCGCGCGCTTAGGTTCTGTCGAGTCACAGACCCAGGAATCGTTGCGAGAAGAAATTGGTGACGCGAAGCGTCTTGGGGGCGTCCTTGGACGTCTGGGGTCTCCTGGGGCCTCTTGAGGGGCCTCCTGATGGCCTCCTGGCGGCCTCTTGGGGCGGAAGGCTCGAGCTTGCGGTTCGTGGTCCCCCTCTGGGCCCCCTCTTGGGCCCGTCTTGGGGCCCTCTTGGGCCATCTTGGGCGCCTCTTGGGCCGTCTTGGGGCCCTCTTGGGCTGTCCTGGGGCCCTCTTGGAAGCTTCTTGGGCCGTCTTGGGGCGGTCTTGGGCGCCTCTTGGGCCGTCCTGTAACGTCGGAAAACCCAAAAGACAACTTTGTTGAAAATGTACGTTTTACGAAGGGAATGGGCCAATTTTTGCATCTAGGGGCCCTCTTGGGACGCATGTTGGAGGCTTCTTGGGGCCTCTTGGGGGCGTCCTTGGACGTCTGGGGTCTCCTGGGGCCTCTTGAGGGGCCTCCTGGGGGCCTCCTGGCGGCCTCTTGGGGCGGAAGGCTCGAGCTTGCGGTTCGTGGTCCCCCTCTGGGCCCCCTCTTGGGCCCGTCTTGGGGCCCTCTTGGGCCATCTTGGGCGCCTCTTGGGCCGTCTTGGGGCCCTCTTGGGCTGTCCTGGGGCCCTCTGGGAAACTTCTTGGGCGGTCTTGGGGCGGTCTTGGGCGCCTCTTGGGCCGTCCTGTAACGTCGGAAAGCCCAAAAGGCGACTTTGTTGAAAATGTACGTTTTACGAAGGGAATGGGCCAATTTTTGCGTCTAGGGCCCTCTTGGGACGCATGTTGGAGGCTTCTTGGGGCGTCTTGGGGGCGTCCTTGGACGTCTGGGGTCTCCTGGGGCCTCTTGAGGGGCCTCCTGGGGGCCTCCTGGCGGCCTCTTGGGGCGGAAGGCTCGAGCTTGCGGTTCGTGGTCCCCCTCTGACTCTGGCCCCCCTCTTGGGCCCGTCTTGGGGCCCTCTTGGGCCATCTTGGGCGCCTCTTGGGCCGTCTTGGGGCCCTCTTGGGCTGTCCTGGGGCCCTCTTGGAAGCTTCTTGGGCCGTCTTTTTGGGGCGGTCTTGGGCGCCTCTTGGGCCGTCCTGTAACGTCGGAAAGCCCAAAAGACAACTTTGTTGAAAATGTACGTTTTACGAAGGGAATGGGCCAATTTTTTGCGTCTAGGGGCCCTCTTGGGACGCATGTTGGAGGCTTCTTGGGGCCTCTTGGGGGCCTCCTTGGACGTCTGGAGGCCATCTTCAGCATCTCGGAGCCCTCTTGGAGGCCTCTTGGAAGTTTCTTGGGCCGTCTTGGGCGCTTCTTGGGCCGTCTTGTCTGACTGGGGAGGCCTCCGGCAAGCCCCGACGAGCCTCCGGGCCCCCCGGGGCGCACATTTGTGGTAGAGGTCCCGGCCCCGGGCCCCCGGACCCGGTGCGCCGTTATATGTACATGTATGTAGGATCATGTGTATGCTAGCCAGAATTGACCCAAGACAGTGTTTTTGGCAGACTGTGTGGTGCAGTCTATGTGGGGCAATCTGTGTCAGGCAGTCTACGTGGTGCGATACATGTTGCGCAATCTATGCGCAGCAATCGATGTTGTGCAGTCAATGTGGTGCAACCTGCGTTCTGCAACATGTGCTGCAATCTGCGTGGTGCAATTCAACGGCGGCGATGAGCGGCGACGGTGGCGACGAGGCGGCGAAGGGAAGGTGGGGATAAGAGCAAACACGGTAACATGTAGATGCGCTCATATGTGACCGTGTTGACTGCGGGTGTCATTTGAGTATTCTACAACAGATTCGCTATCCGGAAAAGCTGTTGCCATGGCTCCCTGATGCCTAGCGCTCGCGGCAAGCGAGGCCACCATTCTCGCCCACACCAGTATGCCGCAACAGGGGCCCACGCAGCCTGGCGGCAGTTTGAGGAGGCAATCAGTGCGCTAGCGACCAGATGAGGTGCAAGACATCAAGGATGGGAACGAGAGGAGGATCAGGGAGCTTGAAGGGAGACTGATTCAAGTGGCGTTAACAGCAGAGCAGATGCAGGAGCTGCTGCCTCTGACGCAGGCGATGGAACAGCAGATGATGAACCTCCAGCAAGAGACCCCAAGATTCTCGCGAGCAATCAGATGGACTTGAGAATAGCAGCACCAACGGCGAGCTGGAGGGACACCGCAAGCGGAACTGAGAGCCAGCTCAGCAGCGTAATGGTTTCAAAGTGGGCAGCTGGCGTGTTTGATGAAGACGAATAAGCATGGAGGAGCTTGACTCTCAAATTTCGATCGCATGCTGGGGCCATGAACAAGGGCCAGGTGAGCGTCTGGATGGACTACGTGGCCAGCAACAGGGGCAAGAGTCCGAAGAGAGCTTGATCCCTCAGCTCAGGCGAGGTCGTCGCTTCTCTGGGGAGGAAGCCCCATCGTCGTCTGATATGGGACAAACATGACCATTGTAACGCGACCTGGTGGCGAAGGCCTCGAGGCTGCTTCTGGGAAAATGCGACGTTCAGACGGGGCAGACCCGAGTTATCTGGATGATCCAGATGCTGGTCTTGGAGTTCAAGACCGGCGACCTCCTGAACAAGCTATACCTGGCCGTGTCAAAATACGAGTCTGTCACAAGCACCGTGATCGAAGATGACACGAAGATCGGCACCGTCATCAAGGGCATGAAGGCCAGTGCGCTGCGCCAACACAGACTGATGCATTCCGAGCGGTGCGTCACTAGGAGGAGTTCCGGAAGCAGGTCGGCGCCATCGCGAAGGCGAAGTCGTACCACCTCGAGACGGCATCCCTGATGTACATTGAGGTCCTGAAGCCCAGGAAAGGGGCGGGCAAGTGCTTCGCATCTGGGAAGTCAGACAAGAGACACGACGACAACGACGCCGCCGCCGACGACAAAGACGACGAGAGCGACCAGAGGAGGAGGAGGAGGAGGAGAGGAGGAGGAGGAGGAAGACGAGAGGATGGGGATGAGATGAGGAGGAGGAAGGACGATGAGAGGAGGAGGAGGAGGAGGAGGAGGTGGCGAGGAGGAGGAGGAGGAGGAGGAGGAGAAGGAGGAGGGGGAAGGACCAAGGGACTTTGGAAAGAGACACACGCGTTACGATACGCCCAATATTTCTCAACATTTGTCTGGAAGTTCCGTTTTCCCCTCAATCTCTTGCATGCTCCCATATTATCCGAAACATCGGCGCCTGCTTGTGTCTGTGTCTGCTTGACTCTCTTGAAGCAAGGTGGGGCGCCACCGCGAGAACCAGCCCATCCCCTTCCGGGGCGGACCGGGCGCCTGCACTGCCTGCGGCCTGGACACGCGGCAACGTGCGGCCCTCGGGCACGGAGCATGAGAGAGGGCGGCAAGGGCAGCGGCAGGGCCCGCGAGACTGCGGGCTCACCGTGTGTGTGTGTGTGTGTGCGCGTGTGACGGACGAGGGGAAGATCCTTTATCCAGACGCAGGCCTCTGGATTGATTCTCTTCACCGCCAAACAGTCGCTCACCTCTACCTCTTGGCCGAAATGCACGGCAGCGAAGCTGCGCTGCCGCGTGAGACAGCGTAACAGAGCGGACGCCGAACAGTGGAGTCGACGAACCCATGCGTGTCGTAGCACTGGCCGTGAAGCGAAAAGAAAGCGGAGACGAAATATGAGACGAAGGCCTCTGGATAGAGGCATCCCAGATGGGGCCCGAGTAGGTGGGGTCGGAGGATCGCGCCGCATCGTCGATACATGAGCGCTGCATCGGCGATGCATCATCGGCGTCCGCGATGCATCGGCGCCGTCTGTGTGGAGACACATCGGGCCCCACATCGAGCCGCATCGGCGAGGCATCGGCGATGCGGCGCGATCCTCCGACCCCGCCTGCTCCGGCCCCACCCGGGAGGCCCCGACTGGAGGAACCCGCGGCTAGCCGCGGCCCCTGCGTACCAGGGCCGCTCGTGTCCGCGGACCCCCTTGGTGGCGGTGCGCGCCATGTGCCCCGCGTGCGCAGCCTGCCGTGCTCGACTGGGACGGGTCGTGCGCCGACGACGGCGCCGCGGGGCGCGAGCAGCAGAAGTTCGTCCGCACGGAGGGCGGCTGAGGCCTCGCTCTGGAGTTGGAGTCCCCCGAGGTGGCGAGCCAGGTGCAGCACGACTGCCTGTTCACCCTGCGGGCGAACACGGAGACGGTGGACGTTGTGCTTGCTCACGCACAGGGAGAGGCGATAGTCGGCGGCGCGCAAGGGGGGGAAGTGAGAAGGGGCAGGCCTTCTCAGAAGGCTCGGAGGTCCTCCAGCCTTCTGAGAAGTGTTCTACGCCGTCCACGGAGGCACGGACAATTCCTCGGAGGCGGGCGGGCTTCTGAGAAGTCCCGCCGCCTTCTGCGAAGGGCTTCTCCTTCCCACTTCCCCCCCATCGCTCACGGCCGAACTAAGAAGGAGCGGAAAGGGAGAGCGCGCAGCTGCCCGCCCCCTAACTGCGCCGCGCCTTCACGCCTTCACGCGTGCGCCTTTACGCACACTGGGCGCACGCGCCTCACCTTCGCTCCCCGCTCCAAGATTTAAAGGTTTGCTTCGCTTCGTGGCACATCCTTGGCGGCATGCAGATGCTGCCGAAGGATAGCGATATATAAATATATGAATTCATACATGTATTGCATGTTCAAATACAGGGGGAGAAAGAGAGAGAGAGGGAAAGAGAGAGAGAGAGAGAACACAACACCAAAACACAAACATACGAGACTGACATGGACATGCCCATCTACGTGCGCACGAGCGTTCACGCCTACGTGCACCCCTTCGCAATTATATCAACATGCGTGTTCGTGTACGCGTGCGCTACATCTTCATACTGGGTACTAAGTGCATGGATACATACGTGTAGCTACACATGTACTTAAGCATGCACATGCGTATGCGCATAACACCATAACCAGACCCATACTTGCGCACGTCCTAGTGCATGTGTGCATGAACGAGTGCACATGCACACGTATAGTGCGTAGGCATGCCCGTTCAGATATGAGTACTATGTGTGGTGCGCGTGCGTGCATGTTGCATGTGCACATGCGCTATAGTACACGTAAGGAGGCACACTGCACGTACACAGGCAAGCACTTGGACTCAAAACGATTCAACCCCACAAAACACGTCTAGACAAGTATGCGTGCACCTGAGCGCGCTCGCGTATACATGTGTGGAATCGCGTCTCTATGCAATGTTGCGTACGTGAAGACGTGTGCATGTGCGTAAGCGGTTGCGCGTGCCTGCGAGTGCACGAAAACACATGCATTCAACGCATGTGGAAGGACGATGTAACAGGGTCGGCATTCGCAATGTGCTCGTACAGTCCAAGCCAATAACATCGCACACACAGAGATAGCAAGGCTGTAGGTTGGGAGGTAGGGCGACGCCGTGCGCATGCAACGCGGGTAATGCCTCTGCCGTCCGCGACTCGCAACAGATCGGGATCCAGGTCGGGATCTTGAACACGGACGTCTCCATCATGTAGACCATGCCTCTGTCCCTTCGTGTTTCCCTTCCAGTTTCGTGTGGTGTGGCTGTCACGCGCACTACCTGCCCGCTGCCGTAGGGCCATTCAGATGACGAACGGCGCGTGCATGCAAGGACATATGATCAGGGAGGGAAGAACTTCGTGATAGTGTCGAGTGCGCGCTTCAGCGCGATGAGCTCGGCTGCAAATGGAGAAGACAGATTGCCCGAGTAGTTGCCTCTGCCTCTTCCCCCAGGCGATGGCGCTGCATGACGGCGCATGACAGCCACGCGCGACTTGACACGGCGACGAA